GGCGGGGCGGTGCCGCGCATGCGCAGGCGGCGCGCTGCCTGCCGGGAGCTGTAGTCCGGGAGGGGCCTCAAACCCGCCAGGCCGAGCAACCCGCGGGGGGCGCGTCTGGTTCCGATCGCTTCGTCATCGGGATGACGCAGCTTGGGAGACGCAGGGCGAGTAAAACTCACACGGGCAGCAGGCTGCGCGGTTCAGACTTTTATTGCAAGGCATTTCAGTGACCAGACTTGCGAGCTTTCGCGACAACCCGGCTCCTGCAGAAGCTGCTGCGGGCGAGCGAGCCCGGGTGCAACGTTCCTTAGCGAATACGTAGCTGGGATTGTAGTTGCACGCGGAAAAGATCATCACTGTCACCAGGAGGATCCCAGCCTTCAGGTTGCTGTTTGGTTTGGGTTGTTTGTTTGGTTTTTTTCCCCAATTTTGTCTTGTCCCGTATTTGTTTGGGGTTTTTTGTTCATTTTCTTTGCCATCCGTTTTCCACAGTCTCTTCCCCTTTCTTTTTTCACCATCATCCTTATGAAAACTTTCCTTTTTCAGCATTTACCCTCTCCTAGTCTCAGTCCTCACAACTGAGAGCATCAGGATGGTCAAACTTTTTGCACACAGAAGGCGTGTAGAGAGAAAAGGAGTCCTTTTGTTCATAAAGCACCCTTGCCAAAGGGAAGCTCTGAGCTTCTGAACTCCGTAGGTACAGGGCCTAACAAAAAGAGCTCGAGAGAATCTGAGACAAAGTCTCTTACCCATTCCAGCAGCAAAGAGGTAGATGCAGAAGTGCTTCTCATGTAGACTTGAAGGGGGAAATTTTGTGGGCAAATCCCCAGCAACTCCTTTTGTTGGCAGACCTTTATGCAAAGCACTGGAATATTCTCATGGCTGCTGCCAGCAGGAGAACAAATCATCAACAAAGATTAGATCAATTGGATACACTGTTTAGGCTATACCTGGCTTACAGAATGGGACCTTGACACCCATGCTAATTAATTAACATTGCCTGCATTCCTTAGGTGGAAAAAAAAAAATAAAATCAGAATTTTTATGACGCTAAATGACATAGTACTGATTAAAAAAATATCCCCAAAATCCCTAAGCTAGGCAGGATCATATTTAAAAAGGAGAAATATAAGTTAAACATGGCAAAAGTACATTGTATCAAAAATACTTGTATGCTTCTCTTTATTCAGCTCTTTGCCCTGCAGTGTAAGGGCCATTTGTGCGTGAAAAGTCTTGTTGATCTTCTTCATCCAAATCCAAAAAGTCTGGGATATCATCTGACTCTGAAGACAGGTCTGTAATACTGAAATCTGGAACCTGTGTAGGAATGAAATTTCAATCAATGTAAAAGTAAATAATTTGTGCAGTACACCTCACTCACTGAAGCCAGGAGACAAAGATGCTCAGCATGTCTAGAAATAAAACCCAAAATATTGAATACAGGGTGAAATATGCTCAGTTGCATACAAAACACATAGCATTCAGACAGACCAAGTATTATGAAGGATCTAGACCAATTGTTTAGAAGATTTTTATAGTAGGCATGGAACAGAGCTGAAAAATTAAGAAAGGATGTTATTAAACGTATTTTGCCTTTTTTCTTTCCTTGGCAACAATGGGCTATACAAAGGAACCTGCCCTGTGGAGCCTGATAGGGATTGCTCTGTACTGCTGTGCCTGTCTACCACATCAAACCTTTTTCCTCAGGAAACAAGCATCTGGAACTGCAATCCCATTTTGGCATCTGTTTTAACTGCATGTATAGTATTCCGTATTGTTAAGCAGCACCAGGTTTCAGGAATGGCCAGAGACATTAGTGGATACATGGTTGTTACACACTTCTAAAAATGTTGGCTAAGACACTTAGGAGCTTAAGTCCCAACCCTTAAGTCCCCTTAGTAGGACTTAGATTACTTTGGTATTTCTGAAAAATGGGATATAATTAACAAAATTGCTCATAACCAAAAGTTTTTTGCCTCAAGTGAAAACTACTTACATCTATAATTTGATTCATGGTTAGCTTTAATGTGGCTGATGACACATACGGAACTAGGCGCAGCTGCAGCATCTAACAATTGCTTCATGCTGGTAGGACTTTGGTTCTCCATGTACAAAGAAGCAGGAACTTGAAGAGGCTTCTTGGCATTTGTGTAACCCAGACTCAGTGCTGACTGGAGAAGCAGTTTTAATCCATTCCCTAACTGCAAAACACCTTGCTTAGAACTCATTTTTATGAACAATAGTGCATAGACATATCAATGCTTTGCCTGCTATGAATGAATGTCCAAAGAATGGAGAACACGTCAAAGGATAAAGGGATTACTCTGCTTCAGCTACTAGGTTGTAGATAGCACTGCAGGACTGAACAAGAATCACTCCGTTCCTTAGAGAGTGGGTATTAATATATATAATATTAATTAAAAAATTAAAACTGAGCTTCAGAAGAATGTAAGCAGCATGTCACTTATCAGGCAGTAGTGTGAATACAATGAGATATATAGACCACTTTGAGAATTTAAGCTTGATTAAAATGAGATAAGTAATTGTTGTCTCCTAAAAAAAATGAAAAGGCACTAGAGATAGAGGAAATAATCCTTCTCCCAGCAAGAATTCTCTTGCTTTTATCTTTCTGCTTATAGCAGTTTCCCTAAAACTCTAATCAGTGCACTTGGACAACTCAACAAGTTTTCCCATTATCAACATACAAACCTGTATTCTATACAGCAGTAAACTGGGACTGGTTAACAAGACTAAGGCAAAGTAGTGAATTTGCAAATTTATTTTAAAATGTTCCCAACCAGACAGTTAAAAAAAGTTGTTCTATTCTGTAATTACACTGAACTGGGAACATGACCATGTTCAGTAACTGTGTCTGGTCAGAGATAATTTTCACTACATCCTAGGTTTAGGACACTTTTATTACTTATATCCATGCTACTCCTACTTTAAACAGGCTCATTGCTCAAACCTAAGTTTATGCTTTTTCATCTCTTTCATGTATACATTTTAAGCACCTGACTCCTTTAACATACTAATAAGAGGTTCACAGCCATAAAAGAAATTCAAATGGGACTATAGCTGTCAGCATGAGGGTAAAATAGAATCACAGAATCATAGAATCATTAACGTTGGAAAAGACCTTCACGAACATTGAGTCCAATGTAATCCAACTACCACAACACTAAGTTATATCCTAAAGCACCATATCTAAACAATTCTTGAACACCTTCAGGGATGACGACTCCACCATCTCCCTGGGCAGCCCATTCCAATACCTCACCACTCTTCCAGTAAATAAATTTTTCCTAACATGCAACCTAAACCTCCCCTGACACAACTTAAACCCATTTCCTCTCATTCTCTTGTGACTTACTTGGGAGAAAAGACCAACACTGGCCTCTCTACAACCTCCTTTTGTAGTTGTAAAGAGCAGTGAGATCTCCCCTGAGCCTTCTCCAGACTAAACAACCCCATTTGCCTCAGCTACTTCTCATACAACATGTCCTCCAAATCCCTCACCAGCCTCATTGCTCTTCTCTGGACATGCTCCAGGAACTCAATTTCTTTTTTATACTGTGGTGCCCAGAACTGAACACAGTACTCAAGCCATGGTCTCACCAGAGCCAAGTACAGGGGCATGATCACTACCCTACTCCTGCTGGACACACTGTTTCTGGTACAGGCCAGGATGTCATTGGCCTTCTTGGCCACCTGGGCACACTGCTGGCTCAGATTCAGCCACCTGTCAGCCAGCACCCCCTGGTCTTTCTCCACCAGGCTGCTTTCCAGCCACTATTCCCCAAGCCTGTAGCATTGCTTGGGATTATTGTGACCAAAGTGCAGGACCCAGCCCTTTGTCTTGTTAAACCTCATCCTGTTGACCTCAGCCCATCAATCTAACCTGCCCAGATCTCTCTTCAGTGCCTTCCTACCCTCAAGCAGATCAACACTCCTGCTCAATTTAGTGTCATCTGCAAACTTGCTGAGGGTACACTTGATCCCCTTATCCAAAACATTGATAAAAATAACATACTGAATTTTATTTATGTTTACAAATATGTAAAGGTGAGCAGGTATGTAAGGGTGAGTGTCAGGAGGATGGAGCCAGGCTTTTTTCAGTGATGTCCAGTGATAGGTCAAGGGGCAATAGTTGCACACTGGAGCATAGGAAGTTCCATGTAAACATCAAAAAACTTCTTTACTGTGAGAGTGAGAAAACACTGGGACAGGCTGCCCAGAGAGATTGTGGAGTCTCCTTTTAATGTCTTCACTGGAGATGTTCAAAACCTGCCTGGACAAGTTCCTGTGTGATGTGCTCTAGGTGACGCTGCCTGGCAGGGGGGTTGGACCAGATGATCTTTTGAGGTCACTTAAAACCCCTAAGATTCTGTGATTCTGTATTAGAATAGCATATTCTGACTTCTGCACACTGGCCTAACTAAATGCAAAGGCCTTGGCATGGCAGACTTGCTTAGGTCCAAGACCTTTAGTTGCATATTACTTTTCACAGTTGACAGGAAGTCAAAACAAAGCAGAAAGTCAATTCTTAGAAAGAGAATAAGGCTAGATACGATACTTCCTTGTGCCCTTCCTCTGCAAGATGCTGGTAGATATTTTATACAGAATAGTGCAAAGCTTGCAAAATCCTTGTAGTGAATAGTGCAAAACATTACTTCAGTGTTTTGCTATCTTCATACACAAATGTTAAGGTCAACATGACCTTAAATTTATTTTGTTGTTGCTTAATATATTTTCAGAACTGAGCCACTAACAATTTGAAATACAGTTGCTATTTTGTGTGCTTTGAGAACAACCACTTAGTCATCAGAGACTGTATTGTGAGAAATAAATGTCTCCATTTTAGTCTGAAAAGAAGTATTTAACAAAATACTGCAGTGTCTCCCACAAATTATTGTATGTAAAACATTCTAACCATGCAAATAAGCAACAGATCATGCTTAAAACGTAAGTTAGGTTGTGTTTTGTCTTTAATTAGATGGCTTACATCAGGTTTTGGGTGCTTTTTCAGTGGGCTTTGTGTGCTATGGTATTTTTGAAAAATAAATAATGTTATTTCTGAATCCTTACACCTATTTTACTAGCTATACAGTATTACTGTAAGTTGCATCTTAGAAAGTGTTATTACAAAAAATTAATTTCAAGGTATGGGAGAGACTTCAAAAGCTTTACACCTTTCTCTAGCTTGAGATTAACTAGCTATGCTTGCAGCTTCAGTCCTCATATAAATCTTGTAACTTGGATTTGACCAATGTGTAGGCTGCTACAAATATAATGTTTCCTAAACTTTTATATCACATGGAACTATGCATAAATGCTTAGAATTATAACTTCTGTAGCAAAGGATTATTAGCAATGATAAAATAACAGTTCTCTGTTAAACAAGCCTGGAAAGGGGAAGTTTCACTAGCATGAATGATTTTTAATGGATTTCTTACAGAGAGAGTTTTCTGAATTCTAAATAAACCCTAATTAGCCTTAACAGTGGGAATTGCTTCATTAGTATTCCAACCTTTATCCTTGTTCCTGTGCAACTAGCAGCCTTTGACACTGTGTTCCATTTCATCTAGTTTCTCTGCATTGCTGCAAGTAGGATCAACTGTTTCCTAGAATTTTCAATGTATGTGGTCTGATCTTTTTTAAGGGTTCCAAAGAGACTTCACAGCTTTCTAGCACAAGCTATATCCTCACAAGTGCTTTTGGACTAAAAGCAAGCAAGTTTCTGTGCAGTGTAGTTAAGCTGTGTGATATATGCAAATACCAAGTTTTGTCTTTAGGCTTGTAATTCAAATGGAGTCTAGGGATATACTGTACAAATTACCAGCAAGAAGATGGCCATGCAAGCTACAGTTGCAATTCAGTGTAAATATTCACTGCTGTCCTTATCAGGACATTCTAGTAATTTCAATCCAGAGACTGGATTATATTAATTTATATTAATATGAATTTATGGAGTTGCTGTTATTTAGACCTCTTTTCCTCCCAGGAAGTGTTCCCAATTCTGAAACTTATCAGGGGGCAGCAAGATCCAACAAAAGAACCACATACCACAATAGCACTTTTGGTGTAACAAGGTATTAGCCTAGCCATTAGGTAAGGGGAATTCATGCTTAAATGCTATGTGTGGCCACCAGTTGCAGGTCAGCTGTCAGAAGTCAAAGTAACTTTTACTCATAAGCCACCCAACAGTGCAGGGTGAGAGTGAAGTTACTTGAAGTTTTATGCTTGTAACATTTTTCCTTGCTTTCTACTTTACCTGTTCACTGACATTTAGTAAAGCTGATCAGCCATCTAAGATTATAAAGCAGTAGTGCAACTTCAGGCAGAAAAGAGAGATGTATTGATTTCACATTAATACTAGATGGTGCTGTTTATTTCTCTGACCCCAAGACAATGAACAGTTTGAATATCTTATCTGACAGATCACCTCAGAATGAAGGTCTCCAAATTCCAGAATTAACACATTAAAATGGCAGTTCTCTTCTTTTAACTGCCAGCTGCTCCCAAGCTCATTTGTTCTATTCTGTTCCTGAGTTCTATTCTTTACAAGAGTGGGTGAGCTCTACAAACTTTATTACAAATTGAGATTAAAAAGGATACCATCTGGTTGGACTCATTCAATACTTAAAGTAAACAGAAGTAGTTGCCAAAAGAATTCCAGAAGTCTTAACTTGGACCCTAGCTGGAAGCAGACATCTCACCTTCTCTCATCAATTTCTTGTTAAGCAGGCCCCTTACAAAAAGTAGTTAAAGCTGGGAGTTAAAGATCCTTTTTGTGCAAGCCTTTATGTGCAAACAACGTGTTGTTACAATTTTGTTTAATACTGTGCTTATAGCAGTCTTCCTAACACTTCTAGACCAACTCTGACTTAAGAGCTAAGCAAGCCCTCTCACATTAGAAGACTAGACTACATTCAGTTTCCTTTAGTGCCCATGTTGTACTCCAGCATTGTTCCATGGAGCAACATGTCACTAGGCAACAAACTTCTCTTGAACTCCGTATTTGCTTCAAACTATTTTGTGACCTCTTGGAAAACAGCAGGAAGCATTGCTATAATAAATTGCTGTGCAACTCAAAGTTGCACCAAGCATACATTAAAAACACAGATAACTCACCTGGACAGCCCTAAACCAAGAAAGATTATTTCTTAGTGACTGTGTCATCCAGAGAAGGGATTTACAGGATTTGTTGCAAAACAATTTCACTCAAGCTGCTAAGTGTTAATTTATAGTAGTCACTCAGGTTCAAAAGAAGGTAAATAAACAGGTCAAAACTGGTATTTGCAGCTGAAGAGTATATACTGTTCATAAGCACCCAGCAGCCAAAGCCAGTAGCTGGCAGTCTCAGAACACCTTCTGTGAAGGCAGAACAGATTTTTTTGTCCATACACTTCTCAATATTAGCTCCCAGCTTAGGTTGTCATTAAAGGTAGGCAACAGCAAGCACCAAAAAAGCAGCAGTAAAGCTAAGACTGAATGGAAAAATGCAGAGGAACTCACAGGGAGGAAGGAATGCAGGAGCAGTATCTTACCTATCTATACATACACACATACACAAATACGATGCATGTCTACTTCATTTGCATTTCAAGCTTGCTTTCTGCTAGACCCAGTTTGAAGGAGTCACAGAACAGCAAGTTACATTTGTTTCAAACACCACTGAAATGGACACAGACTTTGTCTACTGAAGCATTTATTACTAACATACAAAATGCATTACAAAACAATGGCTACAAAAAACCCAGCAATGCACACAACAGCGGGCACCTGGGTACAAACAGCATGAATTTTGTCTTTAGACTGCATAGTAAAAAAGTATTGATAATTTGGTTGGTCACTGGAACAAGATCCCCAGGGAAGTGGTTGCAACACCAAGCCTGTCAGAGTTCCAGGACTGCCTGAATGACATTCATAGTCATATAGCTTAGTTTTAGGTAATCCTGCAAGGAGCAGGGAATTGGACTTTGTGATTCTTATGGGTCCCTTCCAACTTGAGGTACTTCATGACTCTGTTATCAGGTTAATGTGTTATACAATAATTAAATTTATATAGTTAACATTAACACTGTCATAGCATTTAAGTAACTCCAGCTGACTCATTCAGAAACCCCACTTTAAGCTTTGGAATACTGCATGCACAGAATTTGTCACAAGCTGTGTTGCAGTACAATTTGAGAAAGTCAGATGCATAATAATCAAATGGAATTTAAGCATACCTAGATGTAGACTGCAAGGCTTTTCAATGTGCTTTATTGTAAAGCTTTTATATAGCTCTGGTACAGGCTAAGCAACAAATCAAATGTTTTTAACTATGGTAGATTCCATTTAGACCATTAATACAATTAATAAGCATGGTGGGGTTTCTTAACTTGGTAGACAAACAAGGCATCTTGACAACTATAAGCTGTCGATATCTAGTCATTTAAGACAGTTTTGAGAGTGGCTTAACTACACAGGACACCACAGCCCATGTGTGAGTGTCCTCACTCTGTATCATTCCCCCACTCCTATGTTTATTAATTTTTCTCCAAGGCTTTTTTGACAGCTACACTTGCTAAGGCCACTTGTTTGGTCAGTCAGCAGAGTACATGCATACTATGCAGTTTATTCAGGAGCATTTTCAGGCTGTTTGTCTTTCGGGCTGGAATTTTTCTCCCCTTCACCTTTGCTCTCAGCATGCTGAATGCCAGGCACTTGCAGGTAAAAGGGACCTACCAGCCAGTTGAGTGGTGTGTTGTTAACAAGATAATCCATCACATCATCCAGAGACTCCTTCATTTTCTTCAGCTGTCCTTTGCTAGTGGTAAGAAAGCTGTCAGATAATTCTTGGAAGGAGGATACTGACCGAAAGCTCTGGTATGCATCACCTGCCATTGACCCAACACTGTAAACCTGATCCTGCACATTCTGTGGCAGCCCCTGTAGGCTTGACACCAGTGTGAGGCAGGTGGTCTGAAGCTGCTGAGTGAGGCTCCGTGCAATAGCTAGAGTTCTTGACTCAATGTGCTAGAAATAAAAGAACGTAACAGCATTTTAGTATATGTTTTATGACTAGCAGCTTTATGTTGCTCAAGATACATAAAGAAGAAAAGGTAAGTAAAATAAAGGGGTATATAAGTAAAATAAAGCCACAGTAGATAATGAAACCAGTCTTAAGTCTGAGGAGTCAGAGACTTGAAAGTACTTGATATTGTTTTCAATGCTCAAGTATTTTGTGGAAGAGAAACATCAGTAGCTTTTACCCAGTGACAGGTAAGCAAGCTCTTGTTTCTACTCCGGTATAGCAAGTCACAGCAGGTAAGTATATTCTAATCAATGAGTGACTGTTTAAGGCTACATGTAAGACTCAATGAGCCTGTGCCTAGGACTGCTGTATGCTGAGAAATTAATTCTGGTCTGGCCATATCAGCTAAGTGAGTCCTAGCTTATCTGATTCACATGTTAAGCAGGATGAGCATTCTCTGGAAAGGAGAATGATCCCCGAAGTGTTTTCAGGAAGTAGGCTCAAACGAGTTTGGATGTCCCCTACTTTTCAGAGTTGTCACTTGTCAGCTGCCTTGAGCTTCAGCATTCAGATTCCCCACTTTCACATAAGCTCCTGAGTTGTTAAGATGTTGCACATTTTAGGGACTGTTAGTTTGCCATTGCCTTGACATTACACAATCTCTTTCCAGTTTACATTTACATCTATTTACCTCAGCGCTACGCAGTTCATCACCATCATTTTGGCCTGTATTTTTCTTCCATTCTACCCAGGATTGATAAAGCTTTTCCTGAGCACCAAGAAGTTTCTGATTGGCACTATTCATGTTCTTTCTGGCATACTCGATCTGAAATACAGCCGAATAAGGAAGTAAAGCACAGAGTCCAAACAGTTTGATTAGGGCTAACCTACCTTACCTGCTTTGTAACTTTTTAAATATACATTTAGAAGTTCAGTATATAAGACTTTGTGGTATATAAAAGTGTCTTCCTTCTCTTAGACAAAACTGGAAGTAGTTTTTAAATGCTCTGTAGTTTATCCCTCTGCCTCAAATGCTTCCTCCACAAGCATCCTACACAAGCATTTGGAAGTTTATAGAAGGCAATGACTCTTTATGCACAGTTTGTCCTGCACATAAAGGTACAAACAGGATATGATTACTAAAGTACCCAGGAATTAGAGATAGCCACAGCAAGAAGAGCAAGCCCATAACAAACCCAACATTTTATTAACAAAAAGGACTTAAAGGACTAAAGTGTTTCTATATTGCAAGAGGTTTTCTTAATGAATGAGGTTTGTGTCAAACCCCACACTCAAAGAGCAGTAATTTTAAATGTCACTTCTGTTTCTGCAGAGCTTAAAATTACAAGCAATTGCTGCTTAGTTTACAGCTCAGCTTGATTTAGAACCTCTCCTGAACAGTGGGGAAAACTCTTAATGAGAAATGCATTATATTTAGTAAATGCATTTAACCTGAGAGAACAATTCCAGTATTTTTATGCCCCTTTTGGTTCTTTTCTGCACTCTGAAACTAGGCCAAGACTTGCCTTTTAAACAAGTGAAAGCTGAAACTTACCAGATTAACAGTGTGGTGCAGCTGAGAGATTGTCTCCTGACTTTTCTGTTTAGCATCTCTGACTTTGTTTAAGGCTTGTTGGTAGGCACGTGTGCGAACCTTTGAAGACAGGGATCCTAGTCTAACATAGTAGCTTGGCTTTTGAACTCCAACTTCAAAGCCTTCAACTCTTGCAGCTTCTTTCTCTATGTATGTAGAAAAAAAAGGAAATTAACTACTGGAACAAAACATAAGAGGTCTGAGGCAATTTTATTTGCTTTAACAGCTGAATACTGGACTTGTTTAGTAGTCTCTTAGCACCAGGGTAGGTTTCCACCAGGTAGTGGAAATCCTAACTTTCACTCTACTTCCCTGTGAAGATGCTATTAAAACCAGCAAGGCAAAAGGCAATTTAAGAAGCACATGCCCCCTCCCGTCTATAAGTAAGGAATAAATAGATCACTGCTTGCTTTTCTCCAACACAAGCATTCCAACAAAATCAAACTTTGAGTTAAGTCTTACCTAGTTCTGCTTCTGTAAGTGGGAGATAATGGTCTACAAGGGTCTCTGATTTAGTGAGAGCACTGTCCACTCCGCTGCTCACCATCTGCACCACACGACTTCCCAGGACAGTGTTAATACTGCCATTAACAACTGACTTGGTCATATTTACACTGTCTTGCATTGCTTCTTTAGTCTTGCCCACAACTCCAGTGATTGTGTGAGCAAGAGTTTCCTTGGCACCAGACACAGTTGTTGTCACAGCTTCTCTGGCTCCAACAACTACATCCTTGGCATTGGCGACAACCTGTCAAAGGAAACAGGTTGATTCACTAGAAATATTTTCTAATGAGATCTACATAATCCAGGAAATAAAAGTTTATGCTAAAGCTTGTAGAAATATTGGTTATACAGAAGAAATCCTGCCCTGAAAATGTATGTACAAGACAAAACAAAATCTGACTCTTACCCAACCATCAGCTAAAAACATTTAAATGAATATAATTCACACACTACTTGCTTCACACCAAGCAGGAGAGACAGACTTGAATTTTCAGAAAATATGCCCACCTATGAACAGCAGCTATAGACAGACTTGACAAACAGTGGGCCAGGAAAAAAAGCAGAGGCTTAATGGCCTAACAAAGGCAACAAACAATTCTAAAGAAATAGCTTTTACTTCTACATTGCTTCTAAGCTGTGCCTCAACTACAGCTAATTGAAATCCATCTCCCTGTATTTTTAGTGATAACAGAAAAGAGGAGGGCATATAGTACTTCTGCTTAGCATATGCACTGGTAAAGAACTTACCTTATCAGTAGGTTGATTCAGTATAGGCAGTCTCTCTTCGATTTTGTCTAGACCTATACATGCATAGTTGTTGGCAACTACAACTAGAAAATAAATTACAATAGTTAGTGTAAATTTTTTCCTTAGTATAAACAACAGCAATTTCGAGAATTCTTCTCAAAACAGAACTCTTGCAACAATGCTCTTCAAGTATTTTCCTCTCCTTTTCAGTGAGATTTGAAGCAGTAAAGCCAAAGAGCAAGGCAGGTTTACAGTGGCAGAAAAAAGCTCACTTGCAGGCAAAGGAAATTGATCTTTACAAGAAACTCTTGGAAGCAGCTGAAGAACCTGGCCTTCTGCCATTCTGGGAAACCAGGCTTCTGGTTACAACAGCCTTGTGACACTGTTGCCAAATTTAACCACAAGTTGCTCTCTGTGAGAGAAAGTACAAAGTTGCGTTTGAAATCACGTCAATGATGAGAAAGGTGTTGCACAACTCATATGTAACCATGTCCCTTCTCAAGATTAAATCAGTAAATTTAGTATTACAAAAACTTGAATCTGCTTCAGCTATAGATTTTTTTTGTTTTGTTAAATGATACCCCACTGTCATTAATTACTCAACAAGCCAAGCAACAGGTTCAGTCAGCTATCTAAAACCACACTCCAGACCAGCACCACCATGCTAAATTGTAATTAAATCTGGTTATATAAAACACTCAGCTTATCAACAGCTCCATCTTTGCCTTACTTTGTGGTTCCAGTTTCTGGATGATAGGCATAGCACTTGTCATGGCTACCGAAGTAATTGTCTTCACTCCTTTCTCTGCTATCTCACATACTGACTTCAGGTAAGGATGGTTATCCTTTGTGGTGATGTAAGCTGTGGACACCATATCATAGGTGGAGCTCACCAAGGGAAGGTTGGCAACTCTTGATACAATGTTCTGTTTAAAACAGAAAGGTTAGTTGTCTCCTATTTTGCTGAACCAGACAAACTACGGGGCTAAGACAGACGTACATACCTGCTGTGGATCAATTGCTGCCAATGCCATTTTTTTCAGGTCTTAAACAGCCTGTGAAAGAAGCATATCTGAGTTATGACATCCTCATACCCACTTCATCTAAACACCAGACTTTGAAACTAACAATCCTTTTATAATCAACCTCATTGAACTGGGAGATTAGGATGTTCACATTCTTGCATATAGGAATTACATTTTCTTGTAACAATCTAGAGCTTCAAAATTTTGTTTCCTAATTATTTTGTTCCATTTAGGCAATACAAAGAGGACACATGCAAAAGTCAGGCTTTGAGGTACAGCAATTCCACTGTAGAATTACCAGTTACCTGCTGGTGGATTAATTTATTTTTCTAGACAGAGTATACAACACTTGGCCTTATTTGTTGAGCCAGGACAAAAACACCAGCCAATAAGGGACTCAAACTTTAGTGTAGGATGTCTAAGTCAGAAGAAGAATTCACCACCAATATTTTAATTCAGATTAGATTTTTCTGTTAGCATAAGGGGGTCAAGTTTGACATTAGGGTCATAATTGCTGTCCAAATCTTGAAAATACATGGAAGATTGAGGTGAAGTACACATTTCCATAACCTCAGCTCAACTCTCACAAGTCATTCCACTAAACTCAGGGAGTTCATTATCTCCAGTGGCACACATGATGTCCATGTAGGGCTCCCCCCACTCAGCTTGCTCAGAAGTCAGCATTCCTATAAGACACAGAGCAAAAGACTTTCCCACTGCAGAAAATAACTCTCCTTCACTGTAATTTAGGCTCAAATACTACGCATCCCACACTGAATCAGGCTGTAGACACCAATCTTTCAACAAGTCTATGCTACTCCGCTATCTTCCAACATGTATTCCCACGGAGAAAGTACTAACAAGCCACCTCCTGTGAGCCCTATAAAAGGAAGGGATATTGCAGTACCACATAAGGAGAACACATGTGTAATGTTATCCTATGCACACATGGAGGCTAAACTAAGTTTGCAGGAAGCACTTTTTCCTTAAATGGTTTAATATGACAAGTTCCAGATGAACCGGTATACATTAAGGCAACAGAAAAACAAGCTAAAACTCCAGCTTTGAAAGGACTATGGTTTTCAAGACTTTATGCTAGGTTTGTCAAAGAGCCAACAGCAGTTTCCTTTTTCATACCTATGACAAAATCAAAGGGAGTCCATGAATATCCTGACTAAGGCCAATGAAAAGTTTTCTCTGTTACATACGGGGAACAAGGACAAAGGCATGCTGTTAACATTTTACAGGCATATTTGCACATATTAACACACATGTGCCATAAGGTAACACCTGTAATGAGATTAACCACTGTACATGGGACATGCAATCAAGTAACCGACAAGGGTTACAAGCAGTAACAGAGTTTTCCTCCTATCTATCAAATATTGAAATATCCCCAGAAAAACTGTGTTTCTCACACAGCATTACAAATCAGACTGCTTCAAGTACAACTGCAGTTCACTTTGAACTACCAAGCACCCTGTAGAGCAGAAAAGTATAAAAGAGCAGAATGTGGCCTTTGAATGAACAAGTGCTCTACCTCTAAAGCTTATTCAGTATTTATAACGTGCCCCAAAAGATCCAGCCACACATGGCACGAATTTGAATTTTAGCCTCTAAAACAGGAGAGCAGGGCGGGCAGGTCTGTGAAGTCATCCCTGTTCCTAAAGACAGGGATGTTGGGTAGAATCTTGTACAGCTTCAGAAATCCCCTGCACAGCTCCAGTCCTGGCAAACGTCAGTTCCACTTCGGCAGAGCAGGTGAGCAAGATGTCGGAATCAAAGCCCACGGAAGAAAAGCGTCTCTCAGAGACACCAAAAAAAGATCCTGACCAATAAAGCGAACGAAGTAAGTCACAAGCTGGATTTCTCCTTCCCCCCCTCGCTATGGATGGATGT